AAATTAAGGAAAAACGGGAATTTTTACGCAAAATCGAATTTCCAGAAAATCGATTTTGGTTTTTGGTGTAACTCTAAAACAAATTAATGTATACACATGAAATTTTCACTGGTTGTTTATATTTGCATTTTCTATACACGATACAATTTTTAAAATATTTTGATTTGTTTTAAATTGTTTAGGAACATTTTCGGTTTTCAATTTTATTAGTCTTTTTTTCATTTTCCTTTTCTTTTTATAAGAATGTCAATAAAACTTTATTTGTTTTGTAAAAAAGCTTGAAAATCTTATACAAGGCTCCTACTATATTGTAACAATGACATTTGAAAAAGATTAAAAATCCTTAGTCACAGTTTTTATTTATAGACATTTAAAGTTCAAATCTTGACAAAATATGGAGAAATCACGAAAATTAGCAAGTTATTTTTTTTCTATCATTGCCAATAAAATTTTATTTGTTGGGTAAAAAAGTTAAATGCAAGACTCCTGTTATATTGTAGCAAAAGCAGTTGAAAATATGACTATTTTTTTATATAAGTATTTCAAGTTCAAATTTTGACAAAATTTATCACATTTAAAATTTAATAATAATTTTTTAGTTAAAAATGTATAAAGTGTTCAACTTTTATATCTAAGGATTAAAAATTTTAAACAAGATTCCACGTAAATAGGTTAATTATTAATTACTTTATTCACCTTAATATCATCAAATATACTTCATAATATCATAGGCTGACTGACCGTTTTCGCTCAGAATCGTTTTTCTTATACAATGATATTTTATCATTGAATTCAAATTTAACACTATCCATTACATATTACAGTGACCCACTTGTAACCTACTGTACAGCAGAGCGACTTTTTACTATCTATTTTAAAATATTAATTTGATGTAGATATTTTGTTTCAGAATACTTGTTTGACTAGTATTTCCAAAGTGTATATTTTCACTTAACATATCTATTACTACAAAAAAAGCATTTAATTTTGCTTACAGCGCACCTCAACTATATAATCTATAATAGGTAACATAAATTTTTTTTTACATATTTTTAAATTATAACAAATTACAAAAGATACAAATTATGTCATTTAATATTAATTTCAATATAAAAGTAATAATAACAATGATTATAATTTAACACAAAACATATTTTTCTTAAAATTTAGACTCAGATTTTATATAAAACAATACTGTTAAATGGGCACATATTTATGCATACAAATCCAAGTATATTTTCGAGGGCTGAGAATGAAAAGGTTATTTTAATATATATTACATTACTACAATAGTAATTTATTTTACTATTATTATAATACCGTAGATTGAGCGATATAAAATTAAATTTTTACGATTTTTGACAGAGTATAGGTAGGTAGGTACTTAGGTATATTTTTTTTTTTTTTTACAATTATTAGAAAAAAAAGTATAACAAATTACAAAGTAATATAAATATGTAGATAAACATAAAGTGAAAAATATTTAAAAAAATTATACCATGCAGTTTAATGTGGTATATGCCTTATATTTTAAATTACTATAAGAATATTTTATGAAGGATCTTGTACAAAATTGTCTAGCTTTTTTTACTCAAAACCAATAATGTTACCATACAAAAACTAAACAAAGTAAAATATTTCAAATATTTCTATATAAATACCTATCTCAAAATATGATGATGTAAATAAATTATATGTATAAACCTTTATCTTAATCTTTCAGCATATAATTGTGCAGCTTGACAAGAATTTTGACCAAGAAAATGATAATATATATGAATGATATAAAATGCTATATAAAAAAAATGCACACACTGAAAAGGTTAGCAATTTGAAAATCCTTCCCTATTATTTCCTGAAAACCCCATTTCAATCCGAGATTACTTAACAGAAATATTTCGTATTACGATTTGAATAAAACTGTATAATATGTAAATAAACATTTAAAAAGGCAATGTTCGAATTGTTCTCGATCCGATCATTTCACAGAAACTCTAAATACTAATTTTAGCAGACAATTATTATGTGCGTGTGTCAAGGTAATGCAAATTAATTTAATATAGGTGCAACACTATGTCTTTATAATATAAAAATATTTTTTTCCTCAATTTATTGCATAATATAAGTTAATTTGGTTTAGCTGGTTTCTCTGTTCTTCTATTGTATAATATATTAATACATTGTCGGCGACAATATTTTTCGGACTTTTTATAGTCCAGATAATGCAGTAACGTTAAAAATATATTAATATATTATACAATATAAGAACCAAGAAACCAACTGAGGGGTTACAACAAAACTAACCTTATAATATTATTTTATACATTACCTTTACAGAATTATCTACACATTTTTTACACTTGATAATATCATATACTTGATATTATTTAACTATATGAGTTTGTTATACGATTTGTTTGCAAGCCATAAAATAAGTTTGAAAACTTGTTTAAGAACAAACAATTCGGTTATGGTTTTGATTTTGGGGAATAAATACTATTTTGTCTTACTACCTAGTTATATTCAGCTACCTTACCTATAGGTACCTGCTGTCTAATTATTATAATAAAAACAATAAACTTAAGATATTAAAAACACAAATTATTCTTTAGATTGGCAACTGATATTCGTTGGTAATTTGCCAAATAGGTTTTATATGTAATGATCTGAACGAAGACAATTCGAAAATAACCAGCTTTTTCTGTCCCGAGTGCAATTCGATCATTACTCTGATGCTAATGAATAGTACCGTGGTAATACTAAAAATAAATATATTGTTGTTGAAAATTAAAATCATATTTATTAAATTATTTCCACTCAGGTATATATATATATATACTTTAAACAGTATTAAAGATTATCTTACATCTTGTGAGTATAAACTATAATATTTAATTTCAAATTATACGTTTTAATACTTAATTATATATTTTTTTAAATGATAGTGTTTTTTTATATACGATGTCTAATATAACACTTAAATTAATCCGTTTTATGAACTACAATAATTTTGACATTATTTTATTTGATACTTTAATGTTTTTATACACGTATTTAGTATATAATATACTTATATAGTATATACCTACTATATTATATATATATATATATAAGTTGTATAAATATTAAAGTAATGAGAAGGTAGCTATATCTTAGTTTAATGAGTATCGTAGAAGAAAAACGTGTAAGTACCTATTTATTATAATATTTTATTGCATACGATTCGTCCAAATAGGCAAGACGGCTTTGTAATTATGACACGTGACGGCAACAGGTATTCTGCTAACATCGACGGGAAGAAGACATGGTAACGTTTATTATTATTATAAAATGGATAAAAACTAGTCTCTCCTCTCACCTCCGTCTCTCTATCCGGATTCTGGTTTCTTACTTTTGTGTTTCGACGCATGCAATTTTATATAGGCGCAACATCTATCAGATTCTCATTTCTCAGACTTTGTATAATTGGTTAGCTATAAGGTATAATATATGAAAATATGTGTGGACATAGATAGTAAAAAAACATGTTTGGCTCACGGAGCATATTAAAATTTATTGCATTTTAACTTCGAGATTCCGAGTCATTAATCCAAATGCTTTAGTGCCAACCTGTGCACGTACATTATACATAAAGCCATATAAGTTAGACCATAAGCAAACCATAAGATTTTAATTATTGAAAGAATACTTTTCTCCATTTATATTTATTTCAGATAAATACAAGTAAATCCAATATACAACACTTAATATGTACTAATGACAGCCTTAAAGATACATTTCAATATGGCTTGGCCAGTATAATATAGGTATACTATAATATAATATTAAACTTAAAGTTAAAATAAAATTAGTACTAGAATATTTTTATTTAACTTTTCAGCAAAAAAAAAAAAAAAATATAATAGTAAAATAATATATTATAATGTGTCATTGTTCCATATTTGTGTACACAAAACAAATGTCAAATATATTACTATTAATATCACTATATATAAAAAAAATTGTGGTCTTTTGGGCAAATGCAATCGATAGGTATATATTTTTCGTATGATTCGTGGTCAATTTATTTAGTATTACTGGAATATAAAATCAGTAGTGCTATTTGAGGCTGATTCCAATGATGATAAATTAATAATTGCCGATCGATGGATATTATTACGGGGTAAACCCGAAACTGTGGTATAGGTACAACTACTTTTGTTTGGGCATAACATTATTATTAGTTTAAGGTGGGCGTTAGCGATTTCCACGTTAATATTATGTAAAAAAAAAAATATAAATATATCCATAGGATTTCCGAGAGACGCTTTATTTGGGCTTGCAAGCGACACGTAGTGATAAAAAAAAAAAAAACAACGTTCGTATAATTTTTTTATCCGGGTGTTTCAAAGAAATTTACGATCGACCACAAACACGAGTACTTATTATAAATTATAATATATTATACCGATCGCATAGGGGCCGACAACGAAAAGTGCGTAAACAGTGTATAATAATATTATATAAAATATATAAATAAAATATAATATAAAAATAACATTTTAATAACTTAGGTCTAGGTTATCACATTTTTGCATCGATATAATATCATATAGTAATATATTACCATATTATATTGTATTATACATTTATGAATAAACACGACGTAAGGATATAACATAATAATATATAATATTATTATGGGTTTAAAAACGAGGAATGGCAATCGTCGAAACGTGATGGAACAAAAGTTAAATCGAATTTTTTGATTTTTCTCTTCGAATGGCTTTGAGATTAAATGTTACATACACATTACACAAATACATAATAATATGCACAGGTACATAATATAAATAAATATATATACATATATAATATATGTATATCGTACAGCTCGATGATGTTAATAACATTATGATATAATAAATGTAAATAATAATATTATTATATATTATGTCGAGGCGACAAAATGCTGTTGCGTCATCGGGTCGTATTATAAATAACAATATTTTGCCGTCCGGTCAGACGATTCGGTCGTTTTCGTCGTCGTCGTCCTCCGATCCGGTGCAACTGCTCCTGAACGACCTCTCCTCGTGCACCACGTCCAGCCTGTCGCACAGGTCGTCGTTGAGCCGGGCCGCGCCGTCACCGTCCAGCAGCGAGTTGTAGTACGTGTTCATCTCCTTGCCGGCCACGACGGCCGCGGGTATGGGCACGCGTATCGTAGGTGTGGTGTCCCGCGTGGTCAGCGTCTGACTTTCGCGGCGCCACGCCGACGAGTTGCGGTACCTCAGCTCGTCGTCGACGGGTATGAACAGAGACGCGAACACGGTGAGCGCGACGAACGCCACGCCGCCGACCAGCAGCGCGTACTTGAGCCCGACGAACAAGACCGGCCCGACCCGAAGGTACACGAAGAACTTGTTCAGCATGTCGTCGGGTAGCTTTTCGAATCCCTGAAACGCCACACAAGACAATATTGTTTTAGAAATATATTTTGACATGTATATTATGTACCGATGGTCAGTATTAGTATCAGAGTATAGAGTATAGAGTATCAGTATTATATTGGGTTACCATATTATTAAAGCAACCTCATTATATTTTTTAGATTTTGCGATGAATGCATTAAATTTACAAGACATACCATGTACCGATGTAACGACATGCAGTGTCGATACTCCTTGATTTAAATAGTTTTTCTTTTGGTAGAGTTTTATTTTTTATATTTTACTATTTGGATACATTTTTGTATGGACATTGTAAAATCATATTATTAGTACATATTATTAAATCATTTTTTTTATCATTTGCAGGCTATATAAATTACTCAATATTAAAATAATATTATGAATAGATTTTTGCCGTTTGTTGTATACATTAATTACTTATTGAACATGTTATACAACTAAAACCCAAATTTTGAAAACAGGAGAACATTGACTGCAATATTGGTTTTATATTTTCGAGATCTTTCAAGAAAATTAAAAATACATACAATATTATACACTGCCGAAGTTATTCGCTTTTTGTGATTTAAATGTAGGTTCCTAACTTTGATTGTAGCCTGAGGGGTTTTTGATCGTGTGAAACGTTATTATTTAATAAAATATTTTGGACGATTATACTGTTCAGCTAAATACTTAATACTTGATACTTAAGATGTTCTGGTACTGTACGTGTCTTGAACAGAAAATATTGTCTTAACATAGAGACATAATATAATATGTCTATAGATCGTAGCATTGGTTGAATACATTTTTAATTTTAACACTTATTACTTATAGAGTTTCAACAAACAAGAGCGATTGAAAATTGGATCCTTCGTAAAATACTATTTTGTCGGGTTATGCTTTGTTGAGTACTTTATGTTTTTAAAAGTAATAACGTATGTTTTAGCAGTTTTTGTTTTCAGCAACCGAGTAGGTAAAAATGTTCAAATGTCCCTTACCTTATAAAAAATAACGCGATTAAAAGTGAAGGTTATCCCACATAAACGTTTAGTGTTATATATTCGGATTATTTTTTTGGTTATCGTTTTCATTTAGTGTTTATTGAAGGCTAAATATTAAAACATTTTATGATTTTTATATATTTTGAGATATACTTATGTATAATTATTATACTATAATATATATTAATACAATATATGGGTACAGTGTGCAATTATTTATTTATATGTCAAACATAATGTATAAATATTTGAAGGTTGCATTGCATATTTTTCTCAAGTACCTATACTTATCGATTTTATGACCAAAGGGCAAATCTTTTTTTACAACATTTTTATCATACACTTTGTCTGTGTACCAAATTTTAATTTTTATTGTTTCACCAATTCGAAATTATTACATTTTTTTAACGCACAAAATTATACCAATAAATGTTTGTAGGTAAATGGTGTAAGTACCTATAATTATTATTATTATATACTATAATAAATGCATTTAGATTTATAAAAAAGAATTATATAATTTGTTTAAAAATTATTTCAATATAATTTAGGAAGCAGCTCACTTCATTAAAATGTCTATCCTTAAATCAATAAATTGCTCATTTAATATGCATAATATTAAAAACAATCATTTGAAATTCAATAAACCTGTCAACATTTACAACAAAAGTAATGTACAGTATAAAAATATGGGTTTTTTTTTGTAAAAAATAATTAGGTTTCACAACAGGACACTCTAGCATAAAGAATCTAAATAATTAAAAATATAGTATTTGAGTAAACTTCAAAATTTCAAAAATGTGAATTTTAATAAACGCATAATTTAATTGGAAATGTTAGTTTGTATGAATACTGCTTGGTGAATTAATTATTTGTCTATATATATTTATTGTATTTGTATATTATAATATTATGTTTAATATACAACTGCACAAGGTACAAGAAATTGTATGAGAAAAACTTCAATTGAAGTTATAACGACCGAATTTCCAATAATTAGAATCAAAACTGGGTAAATTTATTTGAAACAGATAACTTGTTCACGTACCATACTGACCTATTTTCAGTGTTAAAATGTTATTCAAATTCTCCATTTATTAGGATTGCGAGTTAACCTCATGTCCCCATTAGAGCGTCATCGAGATAGCCTTAACCAATTAGTCGTGCTTATTATTTTTATAACGATTGAAATTTAGAATAGTGGCTGTGAACCTATTAAAAGTAATCATTAATTTCAATTGTATCAGATTAAATTAAAATGTAATATTTCATATCGTTCGTCTACTAATGCAATTATTTTTATTTTTTATTTTTATTGTGAAACGTCTGTATGACTTATTTCTGTTAATTTTTTAGCACTTAACGAAAATTATTTATCCGATTTGTTTACCATATTATGTTGTGTTGTTACTTATTTTTATTACATTTTATGTTGTCTTATTATTATGCGTGTATAGTCATAATAAATAACGACAGAATGATATTGTGAGCTAAATAAATGAGCAGGTACTTACAATCTCAGTCCAAACTAATGGTATAACCAAGTTGCTACAATGTTCCGTGTTTGCCATGTCCGATATGTCACCTAGAGCAATGTTAATTTGCATTCTGACGTACAATTGTGTGGGCATACCCGTTTCCTATATAAACACAAACAATAGTTAGTAAATAATACAATAAATTGTAATTGCGCGTTTGATTTTCGATCTCTGGAAAAAACCCAACAACAACGTGGAATGTAATCATCGTAATATTATGTTATATATTATTATAGGTACTTATTTTTTGATATCTAATAATTATAAGGTATCGTCTAACCGGGTTGATGAGGAAGTAGGTTTCGTGCTGTTCTTGATCAGGAGTCATTCCGTCGATGGCGTCTAATATCGATTGGTCGGACTTGTAAAAGTGAGGGTAAGACAATGCGATAGGAAAACCTTAAAACAAAACCAAAATAGATTTGAACTTTAAAAATCTGCTTATAACCGGTTATTGCGCATAAAATAAATATACCGGATACGGCGCCTTAGTATCATAATAATATAATATACAGTCAAGTATTTTTCAAACGGACATAATATTACAAGGGAAGAAATCGATTTTAAATATCAATAAAAATCGTTAATAATGATCTAAGAAATCAGAAGTGATTTCAAAATCAAATATTTCTTTTGATGATTAGTATTCAAAATTTATATTGAAATTGAAAAAAGAGAAAAATTATGTTCAAAATCTAATTGTAAATCATAATACAATTAAATTGATATTTTGCAACACTGAAACAATATAAAAATCATAAAATCATATTAAATAAATAATATTTTTAATTTAAATCAGAAAAAAACAAATATCGATAAGTAAATTTGAATTTGAAATTAAAATTTTTATTTTTTATTTTAAGTCCTGTAGTAGGTATTGTACGGTAGTTGACAATCTTACCATAATAACAGTCGGTGACATCGATCAGCCCCGGTTTCAAACATTTGTTTTTACGGCAAAAACACTTATTAGCCGGGTTGTCGGCACCGTTGTCCAATGATCCGTTTTCGAAAATATACTTATTCACTTGCAAGCCGGAGTTCAAAAACAGTTCACTATTTTTTACCTAAAACCGATCGTAAAAAATAAACATGAGTGTTATTCGTGTTGATCGCGTTTGGTGATGGCAACTCATTTTATCTGTTCATCGAAACTGTACGTAAACGCCACAACGTTGAATTCACAATGTATCAGTGCAAATGGAACGTGTTTGTTAAGAGGTTGACAAACAACAACTTCTCAAGTGGTTGGACATGGCAAATTTTATTGAAATTTTAAGAACAATTTGAATACCTACTTATTTAAAATAATTTACAAATGTTCCCAAATAATAACATGTTTGTTGGTTATTGGGTAATTATAAAGCAAAACAATTTTGAATGTCGTTATAGATAAGGAATCAAATTGTTGAAATCACAAAAAGAGTGCATTGGTTGTAAAAAAAATGTAATTAAAGTTTAAAAATAAAACAAAAATAATATAAGAAGGTAGTTATTTTTTGTATTATTTTCGATATAAAAAAATCTAACATTTGCGTCTCCGGGAGTCCAGAAGCGGTTTGTAGTTATACGTGCACCATAATACGTACCATCGGAATTGCTCTGCAGAGAGACTTCCTGAAAAACATCATTTGTGTGCCGTCGTCTGATACAGATGGAAACTTAGTACCATCCGAAGCACCCGAAACTTTGTTACAAGGGGCCGCTGGCCATTGAGGCAGATATGGTCTATTGTTATAGTTCTCTATGGTCCCGGACTTGGACACGTCTCCTGCTCCTGTGTAAATCGTTGCACTGTCGCCGGTGAAGTCGTACATCTGCAAATTACATAAAATAAGAACAACGATCACTTCAATTCTCCCTTGAAAGAAAGAAGAAACGAAAATAATAAAATATGTCAGTGTGTAGCTAAATAATTTATATTATATTATATTATACGCATTATACAACATTGTTAATGGCAGTATGTTGCCCGTAAACCAACAGAAGTTGAAACTGATTACGAGCTTATAGATTAAGTTAGGAAAAATTCACTCTTCGAGTTTTTAGCATCTTATAGAGTTCCTGGTTTCTATACGATAATGTAAGAAAATATCGTATGATTAGGTAAACCCAACATATTAGAATAGTAATTAGAAACAAAAATACTTATATTATTACAATAGTAGTGAATATGCGTCATCAAATGTAAACTTTGAAATAATATTATTAAAATTCAATTTTTCCATACATATTTTAGTCACGGCTTAAGTGTAAGTTTTTTCAGTTACAACCAACCACTGTGATCAAGGAATTAGGGACTGGAACCTTGATGATTTTTAAGGTTCCGGTTTCTGCTCGGTTCCCAGAAAATCGTATTCCGGTAAGGTTGCGTTTTTTAAATTAATTTAAATAAGAGTTTTGGTGATGTTTTGGTTCCTATAATATTCAAAGGGTTCCGGTTCCAAAACCGATTCTTTTCGGTAAGGTTCCTGCTAGGAGTATTTCAATGTTCCTAAAAAAAGCAACATTTTTTATCAATCCAATACATAACCATTGAATAATATAGGTACCTAATAATATAATGGTTTAATACAATTTATAATAATATAATAAATCACAAGAACATACGTTAAGTATGTAAAAAACAAAAAAAAACATACCTATGGCTCATTTATCCTAACCTGCTCGGTTACAAATCGTAAATACATACAGACTGACAAATGCGCGGGAATATAGTAATTTAATATATTTCGTTAGTACTGCAATGAATTAAAATGAAATATTTCGTAAAACACTACAACTTATCGCAAAATGTGCGACAGTCGTCTGAATTTCCTGTTAAATGCAGCAGTACAAATAAAGAATATTGTGATTCATACCTATACATTTTAATATTTTCGTCAAATATTGACATGATATACTAACAAATTATACTCTTTTATTTGTCGTTTCAGATAATTGCGAAAAAAAATAAGAGATTTATTTTGAGTTACCTATAATACTTCCATTATATGCATAATAAACCTATTATTCATCATTATACCCACACTACTGATTCGAAATAAAAACAAATATAATGATAACGTTAAGCTCTTACCCTCAACAGCACAATGTCGAACAACTTAAAAATTTAAATCAGTGATTTCCTCACCTGAGAACTTGCCAAATACTTTACTAGTTTACTACATGTCGCCAATTATGATTTGTGTTCAATGTATCGCAATGGTCACCCACCGACAATAATACACACATATAACTATCAATTACCATAATGAACTACTCAGAACTATTTGAACTACATAATATATAATGTACCACAGTGCAAGTATAACATAATGCCGTGGAATGTGCTTTAAATTATCATATTATACTATTTATACTTCATAATAGATTCGATTATTTATTTGTCGGGACGCGCCCTAAGTGCCCACTAAAGTGTGTAATCGTTATTGTTTAAATTTATTTTCGCAACTAGGAAGTATTGAAAATTGAAAATACATAAGGTAGCCTAGGTATTTGTATTCTTATTCTTATCCTACTCGTATAAGATATAGATTAGTTTGAGTTTTTACTGGTGAAACAGACAATAAGCAGACGCGCTTTTAGAAAATATTATTATTTTTCTGCACAATATAAGTTGTAGGTAGGTATATCGTATATTATGAAGTATTGACATGTTGTTTATAATGTGGTCATTTGTTTATTTATTTTCTTCCTGTAGGTTGGTGTATTATAATTGTATGAATGCTTGGGGATATTTTTTGCTTTACCCGTGAATACAGGGAATTATGAATAGATTTTCTGAACTATTAATTGATGATTAAACTTACAATAATAATATTTACTATGCATAATAATTTAAAACTTCTCTAAACTATTGAATCTCAACGATATCGAATAAATACAAATTTTTACTGTACTTTACCGTTTACGTACGTACTTATACAATATGACTAAGGTATATTTATGTATCTATGAGAATTGTATAAAATGTTTATTTTTTACATTAATGTACCTATGTATTCTTCTGTATACTTCCATCATTAAAATTAAATTAAATTAATTTATAGTTGTAGGAAATCTCAAGAAATCGTCAAAATATGATTTCCTGTTTTTGTTCACGTATAATACATTAATACGCACTTGCTCATCTTGTTTACCATCTGACCAATACCGTATTTTTATTCAAAAAAAAAACCATTATTTGAATCATTACTTTTCAAGAGTGATGTATTATATTATTATGTGCATAGTTAATAATTATATATATTGAAGTGAAATTTGGTGGGTAAGTACTTATATTATAGGTATACCTGCTATCAAAGGTGGAGCTATCAAAGTAAATTAAAATAATTAACTCAATTTAAGTTAAGTTAAGAGGACACAAGATCGATAAGTTAAAAGTTAATATTGAAAAAAATATTAACTAAACTCAACTCAGTTTAAAAGAAGTTAATTTATTTTTTTTAATTAGTATGTAAATCACATAAAGATAGTGAATGTGTCTTTCTAGTTTCTAATTTATAAATTATAAAAAACAATTTTATTGAACTTTTATCATAATGTACACTGTACATTACTGTTATTTTACTGTTACTTTACTATTATTTACTAATTTGAATTATACTCATCTCAAATTACCTAATAATTTAACAAATATATTTTTGTATATCGTATAGCAATTGAATGTCATAATACGTGAAGATGAGTATATGACCTTCATATATATTTTAAGTTATATAACATTTAAACATAGCAATTGTCAATTTGTAATTTAAAATTATTAATTTTATTAAAACATTTATAATTGCAACTCGCATAATATATAATTCACAACTTAATAAAATATATTAATATACACAAAATTATGTTATCATAAAATATAACAGAAATGTTCGTGTTTTTGTATTGGATTATTTTAATTTTATACTGATATAATAATATTTACGTATAAACGAAAAATTTCAAAATGTTTTTAACTTGATGGATTTTTTTTAAAATCAACTGAGAAAAGCTAAGTTATTTCAACTGTAAAATAAACTAGTTAAATTCATAAGTTGATTAGAAAATAAACTAACTAGTTAAGTTAAAAAGTAAAAAAAATTAACTAGTTATTGCCCACCTGGGCCTACTATCATAATATCAATGGTTCGTACACGAGCGTGTGTATTTGTTTTTCTTTAACAAACAATTAAATTAAAAATAATGTTTTTGGTACAACCCGCAGTTTTGTTATGAATTATGATTAATAATCATGTTTTAACCTATCGAGGCCAACTGTGCAGCGAACAATAACCAGGATTCTTTGTGTGGTCTAATCATCGTCATTATATTCTGGGTGTATAAACTCGTGTATTGTAATAATACATAATTTATAAATTATTAACCACACAGTTTGGCTAATCCGAACTTTGGATAAAATTTTCCGTGTGGCAGCTACACGGTCATGCCGATTAGACAACATAATATTATAGCCTATAATGCTCGTATACACGATTATATTTTTAATATTATAGGTACACTTCACGCCGTATACGTTTATAATTATTCGGAAGAGGCGAAGAAACGTCCGACCACACGCTCGAATAGACATAAAAACCAATAATTATGAAATTTTCAGCTACACGTAACGTGTTTCGTTTTGAGCACGCCTTGAATTTGAACATCGATTATACAGAGTGATCCATTTCGGTGTATTTACTCATAATTTCGGAGGAAACGATTTTATAGTATATTCTTACTCTATTTTTATTGTTGTATTATTATATTGTTTTTTAAAAAAATTATATTTTTCTTAAGTATCTGAAGTTTCAATGTTGATGAAATTACTCTTACATAAGCAAAGTGCTTATATAATATTTATTAGTTATAACTAAACACTTATAGTTCAAAATCCAAATTGTAAACATAACGATTCTCAGACAAATATTTTGCTTTATAAAATGAAATAAAAAATTTATTTTGTCTTTCAAAAAGGTAAAAATACCTAATAATAATGAAGACAAATGTAAAATATGTTTTTTTTTAAAACATTGTTTGGTAAAGTATTCAAATTCAAATTATATGAAAAGAAATATTTTAAAAAGCGTTAATACTCATCAAGATAAATATTTTCTGTTAAATAATCACTCTGTATAATAACTATGTTACTATCACAGTATTAACGCCAAAATTAAATGCTAATGGATATACATTTTTATAATTTTGAGTCAAAAAAATGGAAAAACTTCTTAAATTCAACAGCTAATTTATGTATTTATTCAGTTTAATAAATAAACATTAGACTTATAGTCGTATAGACATAAATTATTGTGCCATTATAGGTACTATTTATATATATTTTTCATCATATGTACATTTTACATATGCCTATCCAATAAGTAATAACAATAGTCAATAATAATGACTCTCCTACGATCCCACTTTGGTAACCTTTGGTATAAGTACGTTGACTTCGACACTTTGACTAACTTTAGTTTACACTTGGAAACATGCTGTGTAGCTGCTCCCTTTAAATTTTTGATTTATTTACAAATATTATTATTTATTATAATATTATGAATCTATTAATTGCAGGCAAAATGTATAGCAAAAATATAAAATATAACATATCTCACTAAAAAAAATTGTATTAACGTAAAACTGTAAAAGTCACATCCAAGAAGTTTGATAGTTTGTGTGTAATGTATAACTGCAGTATACTAATATTACTAATACTATAATATAGTTTACCTATTTGTAAGCATATTATATGGTACCTATACCTATATAGGCATACCATACCTAAGTTTAAAACAATTGTCGAAAAAAGGCATTTTTACCTTAATAAATTAGTTTTAGAATCGTTAATTTTTATTTTTTCCCCCAATTTTGTCCGATCAATTTCAAACCTGTACCTACAAATATTTAGGGCCACATTCACTGACATTAATTTTTTTCAGTAGTTGATCTTCACTTTCAATGTGATACTTTTTATTATTTTCTAAACTTACTCTGTCTATAAGGCCCAGCTTGTCAAACGCGATCCAAGACGGCAAGAACTTGTTGCCTATAGTCACTAATGGACTTTCGTAACCAAACATGAACTCCTTAGCCGTTTGTCTGATAAACGGTTTGGATTTCGTTTGGCGAATAAGTAGATTGACACCCATCCTGGTGATCAAAGAGGCTTCTGACATAACACTGGCAAAACTCTAAAAACACACATTGAAAAAAATAATTTAAAAACATTATGGTAGGATTGGAAACGTGATTACATGCAGAACAATAATTATTGTTAATTATTATAAAAATATTCTGTGAGATGAGTTTCAAAAACCCAAACCTTCGAATCAGGGGTCGGAAACCCATGGCCTTCATGAGAGTTTTATGTGGTCCGAAATCAAAAATGATAATTTGTATAAAAATAGACATTATGTATAAAGACTACGAACTAAGATAGTATGGACTGGGAAACGGAGGATTAAAACGCTGTTTGTTTGTTGATACTTTGTTAAATTAATATAATATCCAACAGTTAAAACTTAATTAAACAAAACTTTATATGACCATACATTTTATTTGAAATAAAATAAGGTAAGTATATTAGAATATTGTGGGCCCTGAAAAATATATATTAATTTTTGGTCTTTGATATCAAAAAGATTCCCGACCCTATTGTTTTAAATTATAATAATTATGTATAATTTTATGTTACCATATTACCATTTGGTTGAAGCTTTATAAATTTAACAATTAAAAATGAATAGGTAGGTACGCAAAATTTTTTTATTCGATATCAATAGTAAGTGACATTAAAAAATATTCAAGGATTTAATTATTATTCATTCTGAAAAACCAATGGTCGATATAAGGTTAATTATATTGACGAAAATATAATTTAGAAACCATATTAATATGATAATTTATTGAGGTTTGAGTATATCTATAAGAAAGCCTTTGTTTTATTGCTATGTGTAGGTACTATACAACTATTAGGTATAATGTGTTTGTATCGCAGTGGCGGTTTTGATAAAACATCAAAGGGTGGGGGGCTATTTTCAATTTTTGGGCCTCCCCTCACCATAAATAAAGCAATTCAAGCATTTAGTGTAATTTCAAAAAAATATCCAAGGGGGGGGAGGTGAGCGCCCCCTTCACCCCCCCTAAAAACCGCCACTGTTGTATCATTTACTGCATGTCGACTGTGAGTCTGTAAAAATCAAAATACCGTTGTGAATAACCAAATGTGCTCCAATTGTGACATTATTTTTCTCTGTCTGTTTTAATTATGATAATGTGACAAGGAGAAGTCACTAAAAAACGATTGAGGACGGAGTATGTACTTTGGTTGATATGGACGGTTTGCCACGTACGTAAAGATGGTGCTCCAACTTTGGGGTAGCAACTCTAAAATATCTTCACCAATATTTCGGGAGTTAATTTCGAGAATTTGAGAGTTCACATTGCCGTTTATGAAATTTTTTATCGAAATTTAAGAGCGACAAGGGTGGGTTACGTGAAGTATACACAAATACTTATTTTTATCTGCAGTAGCTTATTAACGAGCAACTCACAAATCCTGAAAGCAATAACTAGAAAATTCTCGCAATTAACACTTTAATAGATTTCAGAATATTGGTGAAGATCTCGAGTCGCTTCGCCCAAGTGGGTGGGCCAACTTCACGTATAGGTACTTCAATTTACCACGCTTCAAAATAATATTATTCGTTCGTATGGCAATCGATCACCGTACATATTGTTTTGACCGGTATCTATGTCTGCATTTGAGTTTAATTTATTATGTCTACAACAGTAGGTACCATGGCTGATGGATCGGTGTCGTTAAATAATGTTTTATTATATCGAAAAACTTACCAGGAGAGCAATGTTTGGTAATATAAACACGTCGTCTTCTTTTCCAGCATTCAGTTCCGGCACCCATGTCAACGGAAATACAGGCGTCATCGTCAGCGTATCGTTAGAATTAAACGTTACGTTTTTGTGTGCCGAATTTTCCCTGAAAATATTTCAATCTTACTATTCAAATATAAAAGTAGGTAGGTATACATGCATTATCAAATGAATTATTTCAAATAGAATCAAATATTATCAAATGAAGAAACACACCTATACTATTGGGTTAGGTGTATAATTTTCAACTGGTAGGTACCTGCCTAATGATACACTAAGCAATGTTAATAAATAATTACCGGTTTAAAGTTATGACGTATTGTATTGCTATTTGCTAAGGATACTTAATCTACTGTGTGTTGAGGTAGTTACAACAATTAAAAATAATTGGTAGGTATTAGAAAACAAAATGTAATTCAATTTATAATTATTCACATCATATTTTATGGCCATGATTTAATACTTAATATTTGATATTGTTGTGTAAAGTGTTGTTACGTAATACGTTATACATTAAAATGTCTTAAAATATGCATTTCTATATAGAGTCTTAAATTTATCACCCCCACCCCCCTTATGTCGGAAGGTTTCCACAATGGTGGGGGAGTTCTTCGTGTAATTTTCATGTTGTTATTGATCTCATTTTATCAAATTTACTTATGCACGTATGCATAATCAATTTATGTGTCACTTGTGTCATTTATATGTCGTATGTGACACATAAAATATTGACTATGCATACAGACATTAGTGTAAATAAAGTATAACTGATTGTAAATATACTATTTTGTTAAATAAAAAAATATATATATCATCACAATATACCACTATTATTACCAGTAAAAAAAAATGAAACCCAGAGTAGTTAAGGTACAAGGAAATTTTTTTTTTTAAATTGTTGTTCACATTGTTATAAACTTTATAAACTTGAAATTGGTGTAGATATATTACTAATAGTCATACACTGACCGATATTTAAATCTTAAATGTATAAGTTTGCATTCTAGACGACCGATGCAAGACGCAGTAATCTTTCATCATTCGCTTCAGCACAAGAATTGTATAATAATTTAAAATTGTAAATCGATGATTAATTTATTATAGGTAACAATACATTAAAAAATCGAAAAATTTAAATTTGAAACAATTGTCCGTAAACAGCTCAAAACAAGTCAAAATATTTTAAAAATTTTATCAAGTATAAGAATTGATAAAATAAACATTCATTGAAAATGTCATGTATCTACAGTTTTTGAATTACAACAAAATAAGAAAATCGCTACATGAGAAATCGAGTGAATATCCAATGTCATAAAAATTTAGTTTGACTTTCTTATGGACATTTTTTTTTTTTGATAAAGGTAGATAATCTTATAAGGAATCTTGTATTACATTTTAAAATCTCAGATTTAAAAAGAAAAAAATTTACGAATTGTTAACTCAAAATAATTTGCTAATTTTCTTGATTTTTCCATATTTTATAAATTTTTGAACTTAAAATGCTTATAAAAAAAAACTGTGACTAAGGATTTTTAATATTTTTCAAATGTCATTGTAACAATATAGTAGGAGCATTGTATTATATTTTCAAGTATTTTTAGTCAACAAATAAAGTTTTATTGACATTCATAGAAAAAACTAACAAAATTGGAAACTGAAAATGTCCCTAAACAGTTCAAAACTAATCAAAATATTTTAAAAATTTTATCGTGTATAGAAAATAAAAATATAAACAACCAGTAAAAATGTCATTTGTTTACGGTTATTTTTGTCAAAGTTACACCAAAAACCAAAATCAATTTTAAGTAAAAATTCCCGTTTTCGATTAATTTTTATTTTGTTTTTCCAGGCGTTTTTGAAAACTATTGGAAATTTTAAATTTTGACCTCCCAAAAGTACCACCTAGATTCACTTTCAAATCGAACAAGATACTGAAGTTGAAAATCGAAGCATTATTTCGACTACTAATTGTGTACATAGACACAAAAATTAAAAAATTAAAAACCACACATCATTGTAAAATCAATACATTCATCGTTCCAATCAGAATCTAAAATTATGTTAAACAAAAACCAAGTTTACCAGAAAAGTTTCAAGTTTTTTTTAAACCTGTTGTGCAACGTTTGAGGGGATATACGATAATTCTTAAAAATAATCGAAAATTCTGTGTTCTATAGTAACTACCGTTCTAAAGAGTGTTTATCAAAATATCGCCATTTAAAAGGGGCAATAATCGTTTTTGCAATTCATACATAAAAAAATAAAATCTGTTACAACCATATCACAATTTTTCGTAACATTTTTTTTTTTTTTTTTGAAGGGAGTGCCCATGTTGAATCCTAAATTCTGACAAATATCAAATTTTGTAAAAACTTTTTAATAACAACCTTTTTTGAAAGATCGAACAAATATAATAATATATTTGTGTTGTTCATGGTCAACTTATGAACAACTAATTTTTTCCTCAACATATATAGCGAATCAATTTTGTGTACACTAACTGTGGGCACCTGCTTATACTTCCGCTCCCTCAAACATTACATTCGATTGCGTTGATTGATATGTTACATTGGGAACGATTTAAAAAACCGCAACTATACATCATCGGTCAGATATTGGACACACCCACTGTGTACCCATACATATCAAGTGCTTTGAATGCTTTACTGCTATAACTAAATTAAAATTATTCATGGACCATGATAAAATCGCGTATAATGTGTATCGTCGCGTTTGTCCTCGTACGAACACGCTCACCTGCCTATATACTATATAATATATACATATATGTATTGTAATATTGTTTAACCCGCCTCTCCCTTGAACCAAAACTACATACCGATTTGATTGATTGATGGAAATATGAATCTGAAACGCTAAAAAATTATTTATATAAATAATCCGTATTGAATTTTCAAGAAACAAAAAGAACTACCAACCATTATAATATTTATTGGTTGGGTACCTAAATCAAAAATGTACTACTTATATTTAATACATACCTATAATAGTATAACAAAATTAGTCAAAATCATGAAAGTGTGCAAATTATCTCGAGTAAGCAATTCGTTAAATTTTAACCAACTTACATTTCGTTCGGGTATAATTTGGACAAAATTAAAGGTCTACTACACCACGTGGAGCGTAAAATGTATAAAAAATTCGTGCCGGTCTAAGTAAAATATTCGAATATTAATCGAAACGAAATTATTCACAACCTGTTGAAATAAAAATATAATATAGAATGTAGAATTTCCGTAAAACAAAGAGAGGATCTTAAGAATACGTGATATCCGCATGTGTCATCTACGTCTTAGAAGTGCATAATATAGGGCATTTTACCCTCAGCAAAACACGTGTTGCTCCTTAAATTTAATAATTAGAGTAAATTGACTTCTTATAAAATCTAAAGGTAAGATTATTACTTACAGAACCTCATGAGATTTTTATTATATTTTAATTTTTAAGCGAGTTATGAGTACTTTAAGATGTACAAACAATTTATAGTTTAAAAATACTCATAGCTCGCTTTAAAATTAAGACATAACAAAAAGACCATGAGGTTGTCTAGATATTAATCTTACCTTTAGATTTTATAAGAGGTAAATTCACTCTAATTTTTAAACCAACGGAGCTACACGTGTTCTGCTGAGCGCAGAATTTGGTGTGTTAAGCACTTGTAAGACGGAGACAACAAATGCGGGTATCACGTCCTCTTAATTTATGTCATCAAATTGTAGCAAGCCTAGGTCCAAATCCAGACAACGAAACCGACACTTTTGAATTCTTTAAAACAACTAAATTACTTAAGCTCAATTCGCCAACATTTGCAATGCACAAAATATCAATATAACTAATTTAAAATTGTTTTTTTTTCTCTTTTCTCCATTATAAATGTAATGTATTTATGCTTATCATGTCATGCTAATGACCATAGTAGTCGAAGCAGAAATTGTATAATTTCAAGACCAATAAAAAAAAAAAAAATTATAATATCTTTCACTGGTTTTTCATTTGGTTTATTAACTGTCATAAGAATATAAGATCACGGATTTACTCTAAATATAAAACTATGAAATTACGTACGAGAGCAATGTACAGAGTCAATCACAAATAATATCGTACCATTTTAACTTCTACACGACGACAACATGTCGACGCTTAATAATTATTAATAACTGCTAAGGACGGTTTGAAAAGCTTTATACGTATCCCACACTTATACTGCAACTATATATAATAGTGTTTCAAACCAAGCACTGCAGCATGATACATTCTCACACGGAAGAAAATCAAAATTAAAAGGTCAAATTTGTATATTTGGATTAGTTATTTTAGTATGGATACCTATTAAGTATCTCTATACTAATAGTATAGCATAGTACACAATAATAAAAATATTTTTATTTCAGAAATATTTTATGCTAAACTATATGATATACCACGTGCATGGTATTATTAAATTGCTGTTAAGTAATGCAGAGGTAAAAATCACCTTTTATTTATAAACTTATATAGGTACTTCTAATCGAATCAAACCCTGAAATGTTTATGATGAATACTATTCTAATTTGTATGGATATACACATAAATATACAGTTATTAATTAATTTTAATGTTTGAATTGAATTTATATTACAAGTAAAAATATTTGATAAAATGGAACCAATACATATTATTAAGTTTATAATTGAATATAAAATATATTATGTAATATGGAGAATTTCATTATAAAAAAAAAAAAAAAAAACAAAAAAACATTAAAGCACATTTGAATATATTATCTTATTACTTATTTAAATTCATGATTTCAAAAACATACTTGAATGTAATTAGTAACTGTTTATAGTTAACCTAACCGAAAATCATAGTTTTGTTTTTGTAGTGGAATTTATTTTACTATATTATTAGGTATTCCAAATAATATGCGGTACGCATATGTGGTGGTACACCTAACCTAGATAAACATAAAGGGAGATGGTACACAGGTACAAGTGTATAACGTACTCTTAATTTATATTTCATTATGTATAAAACATATGATTGAGAAGTACCTAGTATGATTGATGTAAAAATATCGGCAATAAGATAAAAGAAATCCAATTTTTTTTAAAATTGTTTTGTTTCATTCCGGCCGTTTGCTCGAGTATACATTATAGTATTAATACAAAGACTATGGTCTTATAGACACTTATTAATTATATTCACCATGAAACGTCCCTGAATTCGATTACTGCCCGAGGTAGTTTCTGCTGTCTTGGGATAGATCCAATCAACCAAAACCGTGAAGTCCGAGTGTAACATAACATAACATAACTTCAACTTCGGAGACGTATTGTACCAAGTTAATATCGTTCGTTACTTATCTATAGGTATTAATCTGAGATTCGTGAAGTAAAAATACGGTAATTTTTTTTTGTATGTTACCATTTATAGGTACCTTGCATCAATTATGGTTGTATTATAGGTACTTTGCATCAATTATGGTTGTATTAAAATTTGCATAATGCCTATACTGTATGTATTAAAGAGCAGTACAAATTATCAAATTTGAATTAATTTATAAAATAAGTATAAAGAAAAAAAAAAAATTAAAATTTTTCAACATTTTTACATAATCACTAAGCACAAAAGATTTTTTTATTTAATACATTTCTTGGTTTTTATACAAATGTTACACTATTGTATAAAACAATTCTATATAATATCGTGTAATATAATACCTCGTATAATACGATATTACGAATACATGACGTGTATTATACAAATTATTAATTAATATCGCTACCTAATATCTATGTTCTATAGTCTATAATAATTTATAGTATAAAATTGGTATTCGTTATCGGTTGGAAAAAATGTATTTCCGTTTTGGCGTTCCATCCATAGTGGTTTGCCTTCACGCGAAACCCCTTTATAACGTTGTCTAACGTCTAAGTATAGTGCCTATAAGTTATCCGAATATTCATAAATCATAATCTGCTCGAAAAATATTATATTTTGACCTTATGTTACTGCAATAGTTTTTTTTTTTAAACATTTTATTAATTTTTAATTTTTTCCGTTTTTGCGATCAGGCGGTGTACCATCATCATTAAATAAGTATTATATTTACGCCACGATGTTATTTTACGCACCCATATTCAGATGAGACGAATCTATCAGTTTTTTTTTTTATTATAGGTGGGTATGTTGAGACGACGCGAAAAGCACCACACGGCGCAGTTATGTAATTATATTAAATTAAAAAACCATGAAATGTGAAATATTATTCATTACAATATACATGACGTGATAAGTACGCACTATAATTATTATACTTACATTGTGTATCTTTAAAATATAATCGTAGATTATTAAACTTGCCAGGTTTGTCTTAAGTGTGTATTTTTTCTTAACTTGTATCATATTATGTAGTCGCGCTACAGATATAATTTTGGGCCACCAGTGTAGAGTAGGTATCAATTAAATTCACTATATAATTTCAGCACTATAGAAATGTTCTTATTCAGTTAATATTTATAAGTTATAGCTCGCAGGTATTAATGGTTTACATACATTGTATATTTATAACTTGTACACTTATATCAAATATTATGTTCGATTTAGATGGAAATAAAATCCCCCAACCCTTGGTAATTACAGATACATTATAAATTGCTTACCTATACTCGATCATCCCGAAACGTCTTATTATATTATATGAGTTTTAAATTAGTAACTCATAGCTCAACTATACTTAGGTGCATATAATATTATAATCTATGTAAAGGTGTTATTATTCTAAACAGTAATAATCTTTATACATAAAAATGGAGCGTGAAAATGTCGTTACCTCATCAATCGAGAACGGCTGGTCCGATTTGGCTCAAATTTTTTTTAAGATGTTCGTAATTGCCAGGAAAAGGTTTTTACGAAAGAAAATTTTAAGAAAATCCACCGGAAAGGTAGGAAATCTGGATGTAAAAAATACAACAGAAGCGCAACAGTGTATTGAGATCTTTGAGATTTGTATATTATAAATATATATCGCATAATGTCGGATCGTGCTCTCGCTGTTTTTATATTGATCGTGGGTTTTGTGTTGAATTGATTTTAATCAATTTTTCCGGTTAGAAATAAACTTAGTGATGAAAAGTATTCACATTAAAAGGTGTATTCAATAACATTGTGGGTTTGCACAAATTTTATACAAATTAAGAATAAATTATAGGTACATATATATTTATAATTAAAAAACACTTTTCTAAAAAAACAAAAAAATAATGAAAAATTTAAAAGTGTGTGGTATAATATGTCAAGTGTAAGAGCGCCACACACTTTTAAATTTTTCATTATTTTTTTGTTTTTTTAGAAAAGTGTTTTTTAAAAAAAAAATTTTTATTTTTTATTTTCTACTTTTTAGTTAAAAAATTTTTTTACGGATTATTGTATTGTCATCCAAGACCAAGGTCTATACCAATTTTCAGAATTTTTCATCTTCAAAAGTGCCTCAAATCGAGCGCGCAAGATTTGATCACAGACGGACGTGAAACCAAACTTAAGAAAAGTGTTAAAAAGCAACTAAATTCATAAAAAAATAAATACCAGATAATTTAATTATACAAATATTTTATTAAAATGTATGTCATAAAAATAACATTAAAAATATTACCATTGTTTGTACCGTTATTGGGCCCAACATTTTGAATAAACACTTTTGACAATTTAAAATATTTTAATTAATTCATTTTTCTAAAATAATTTTTTAGTAGTAATCACTCAATTTTGAACTAAAACAATTAAGTATAAGAATTTTATTAGTTACAAGTTTATTATAGGTCCGCATATTAATTTTAACACATAATAATAATCAAAAATTGTACATTATTAATTTAACTTAGAGGTAAAAAATGTTTTTGAATAACCTATCAATGCATCAATTTTCAATAAGCAAGGTAATAAAAATATGATGGAACGGTCGACGGCACTATATGTATAATATTATTCAAATATAGGAAGTAATAATAGTATAAGATTGTTTAGTATAATTGCGTATTTAATATTTAAACCATTGCCTGGGCTCACTGTAAATAGCTCGTTGGAATTAATTTTATGTGGCAGAAATCTGAATGTTAGTTTAATTTAGGTTTATTATTCAACATCATTTTCAGTTCTCATGTTAGATTAGAATTATAAAATTTAAAATTTAAAAATTTATGAAAATGTATAACTATTAATAATAATAATAAATATTACTAATTCTTAATAATATTATTATTATCATTTTATTATTATTAATAGCTTATAATTGTTTTGAACTAAATGTGAAAAATAATAAATGAAAAACAAAATATATATATATATATTAATGTAGATATTAATCAAAAGTAGAAAAGTCGCTTTGTTGTAAATAACATTAGTTTTCGAGTGTATACCCTGTCAATTTTAATCTTAGTAACTTACCACATGTAATTGATTACGTGATTTTAACTTATTGAATTCAATCATCAATCATCTGCTCATACAAAAAATAATTCTGTGCGAAATTGATGTGTCAGCATCACTCAGAAATCAGAAGGTTAGCAGAACCACTATCTACCTAGTAATTAATTTTTTATGAGTAATATAATACGGTATATTGAACTAATTTTTACACCACATATCATATTAATATTATATCATACATTGTTGTTATTCGTTTATAAATTATAGGTAAGTCATATTGTTATTTTAATTTATTTTTTGTGTTTTTGTAGGATCAAGTCCTCTTGCAGAAATATAATAGTCTATACATTTATAATATATTATGATGGTATGATACACTCGCAATATATAAAAGTACCTACTTCTAAAATAATGTTTTTAAACATACATTTAACATTCAATACACACCTGTAAACATATGGTCCGACTTCTTGAAACCTCAGTTTTTCGTCTCTCCCAGACAAGAAATCTTCACGGTTCGTTATGTTGAATATGTATACCTTTAAGTAAACGGCTGCTGCTGGTGTTTTCCACATCTCGAACGTCTCGTCACCTTCGACCATTACGAGTTTCTGAAAACGAAAACATTTCAACTATAACAAAACGCGTTTTCCTTCAACAATTCAACAATCACTATAAAATGTATGAACAATATCGACAAATTATCGGATTGTATCAAAATATCGATGAATTCGACAATTGATAAACGTTGATTTTCTTATCGATCCCTGCAGTGAAAATAGTAGAATAATGGATACGTATTATGCAGGAGGGGGCTAGCGGAATTCTGGGGGCCGGAAAGAAAACAATATGCAGATTTCAGGATTAACACTATCGAAGGTCGAAAAATATTATATTATACGTATAACCAAACGTTACCTATCCTAACGAATCGATAAAGGAGTCGATAATTCAGACGATCGGTAAAAATATATACTTATATATATATAGGTATTTATATTTTTTGTATTTCCAATAAAACATTGAAATTTTATGTAGGTAATCGAGATACTGAAATTATTATTTATGAAATTAAAATATGTACATTTTAATTGCACATTATTAAAGGGTGCAGTTATCAAATGTCATATTTTCCCTATATAAATATAAATAAAATATCATAGAAGAGCCAATGTCATGTTAGTATTTTACATAATATATTGAAGTTCCGGCAACCTCAACTTTTTTGTCGCCATATTATTATATTTAAAAGTAAAAACACCCTTTTCTAAAAAACAAAAAAATAATGAAAAATTTAAAAGTGTGTGGTATAATATGTCAAGTTTAAGAGCGCCACACACTTTTAAATTTTTCATTATTTTTTTGTTTTTTTAGAAAAGGGTGTTTTTTAAAAATAATTTTTTAATTTTTTATTTTCTACTTTTTAGTTAAAAAAAATTTTTTTACGGATTATTGTATTGTCATCCAAGACCAAGGTCTATACAAATTTTCAGAATTTTTCATCTTCAAAAAGTGCCTCAAATCGAGCGCGCAAGATTTGATCACAGACAGACGTGTAACCAAACTTAAGAAAAGTGTTAAAAAAAGATTCATTATATTTAGGGTTTTATTCACGCGATGATAGAGATACATTATCTAAAATATTATGTATGTTGATTTTATATTCTACAGTCTGTTTTTTCGTATTTTTAATCATACAATCTACTGTACATTATAGTGGTACAATAAGAGCTAATAGAATAATAAAAAGGCATGTTCGTTTGTCGAAGAAACCATCCAGCGACAGCACTTGGGCTCATGATTCTATACCTAGTAAGAATTAAAAAGAAAATTGTTGATTGCTTATAAATGCAATAACTTATCCGGGTCACCGAAGTAGGCACTCTACACGAGGAAGTGTAATGTTATACGATTATTATAATAACACCAAGATGAGTCGAAAACATCGTATTAGCTTAGTCAAAAAGTAATCAACACGAACATTTTCTGGCTTCAATAGTATAGTGTTAGTTGGGAACATTATAAACACTTAATAGCGGACAATTATGAATATTTTAAGCACGCGGAAAAAAAACAATTATTATTAATATACTAATGGAAAAAAAACAATTATATGCACATCCAGATGCGCTGCTGAAACTATTTATCTAATTCTCTATCAACATAAATTATGTAAAAATAAGACATTTCAGGTTTTCGGTCTGCAGTTGCATAGGTACCTACGTCATAGACTAGCAGTAATTAAATTTTATAACTGAAAACTGGTTACTACTCTTAGGTAGGTATATACCGCAAACAACTACAGTGACGGAAGAGTGTTATTACATTTAATTATTATAGGTCGGTATTATTATACATTTAGGATATTTTTATTATGACCCGAATCGTTTTCGATCGCCATTAGAAGAAATAGCCATAAATAAATACCTTACCGCATAGATATCATAATATGCAAAATCGCAGCAACCGCAACTACGTTAAAAAATGTTGTTATTATTATTTTATTTACTTCGTACCACTTTAGATAAATTGCGATATATATAACAAAATGATGACGCGAGTCGTCGGACAACTCATAGGGAAAACCCCGGTGCAGAACAAGCAGTAAGTGGCTGGAGAACTGGTATTCACGGTCACGGTCGTCGCGGTTATCTCCGGATGTGCAGTGAGAAATATTTTCACAAAAAAAACATGTTTGACTCAACGACCGCATAGGCGAAGAGGTAGGAGGTATCTATTTTAACTATTTCAACGGTCGTCGGCGGAAGAGGCACCTAAGTGGTTTTTTTTTTTAACTTTTCGTACGACTCGCCTCCCAGATGGATTTCAGATTGGCCGAACGAAATGCATTCTTCGTACCAGAATATTATTACCTATGACCTAAGCCTCTATATAGTCTATAATAAATAATACGCCTTCGGGGATCATTAAACTGTGCATAGTTTAATATAGTGGATGCGGAGAATTATTTTGACCTTAACAAATCGCCAAGAAGCGTTTGACTCCACAAATCGCCAAGACTCGTTTGAATCCATCTGGCTAATGTGTGTGAAATTGGGTTTAATTGGGTTTGTTTGACTATTTCTACAATATTTTCGGATACCAATGAAATAGGTAGAGTATATTATATATAAATACACATTGTTATAATGCATGCATGGTACATCCTAATTTTTCTTTTAATGAATTTAAATACTGATTTATGTTTATTAATTAAGCACCGAGTTTTCATTTTTTTAGATTTCTTACACCATTTAACGAGTGTATTTATATAATTTTGATATAAACTTCTATTTATCATATGAGAAATTGAGAACCAACGTTTTTTTACTGTGAATAGAAAAACAGAAGATTTTTATTGAGTACCTAATTTGTGAATTATTAAAATGTATATAACTACTAAGGATAATAGTCCTTAGAAAAGGGGTTTACAAAATATTAAACATATGTAATATTGGATACTAGGATCTAGACGGTAAACACAAGACAGTATGATCAATGATCAAACCATTTTTACAGTTTATAAAACGTTGATAGTTATAGATATTATTGTTATTTACTATAAAATTATCATATTATCATAGCTCCAGTATGTTTGAAACCATCGTGGATATTATCCTTAGTGCACAAAGTTAAGTAATTCAAAAAATACTTGTTTGAATATTGATTTACATAATATAGCAACATTCAAAAGAAAGTCATCTGATTAACAAGTTACAGGGAAAACGGATAACTCTCATTTGAATAAAAGAAAATTATATCGCCACAGGATACTTCTTAAACAGTATAGGTATATGAAATCTGAATTTGAATAGGATTCTTTATTGAAAGATAAAATTTGAGTAAGTCGAATTACAATATGTATATATTAAAGCCATCAGGGCTCGGAGAATGAAAAAATTTTTAAAATTTCTAAATGGTCCCAAAAATGTAAATAGGTTAACCAAATTAAAATACAATTTTTTTTTCGTTAATTTTTAAGTTTTTTACAAGAAAAAAATGCTACAATATACCTACTAAAAATTCAAAACAAAGCACGTAAATGTATAATAAATAATTTATTAACAGTTTTAAAACTGTTTTACGCGGATATAAAAAGGTTGAGAACCACTTTTTGGTATGTGTGATAAATTATAAATTATGCGTATTAAAATGTGTTACACTACTGTATCGTTTTTCTTAAAATTATATAATCGTAAAATACATAAAACAATAAATTGTAACGTGTAATATAATATTATTATGACTGTCGCCGGCGGACTTACCCATTTGAGTATTAATTGAAATGGATCGAACACGGCGATTAGCGTACCCAGAACGAGAGCGGAAAAGCCAATTAGCATCAACGATATCAAACCTGAAAGCAAATTAAATAAATTTATTATACATGTAAATCTGCAACATCATAATATTAGCGATGAGTACATTATAATATATTAATATATTATAATAATATTATGTACTATTTCATGCTACGCTTGTAATACATGCACATTATAAATAAAAAAGTTAAGACTATGACGATAACACAGTATTCAAATCATTTTTCAATGCTAGGCTTACAAACGTTATAATAACGTTAAGTTACTTATATTTGACAAAAAACGGTTGAAATTTGTAAACATAATTATAAAGGAAATCTATGATCAAAAATAATAATTTAAAACAAAACATAACGATTGACAAAATATACTATACATCATTAAACAAAACATAACACCAAACGTAATTTATAGAATATCATTGAACGAAAAATGACACAAAACAAAATAATTTAAAATCCATTTATTTAAAAGGTCTATTGGTTTCGTAGACACATTTATTGTATGCAAACAATCTAAGAATTGATTAAATTATATTCCGTATCCGGGAAATTACCTACCCTATTAGTTATTATTTTTAAATTGTATAGGGTTCCCTTTTAACAATGTTTTAAATAACGATAAACCCAAAACTTGTATAGGTAACGTTTTAGCTCTAAATAACGATACATGCTAAATTTGGATAACGTTTTAATTCTGAATAACATTAATCGCAGTAATTATGTAACGTTTTAATTTTAAATAACATAAAACAATTTTTTTTTTTTTAATTCCAAGCCCTGGTTCAAAAAAAACATTTTTCATTATTGAAATGCCTATGGACAACTTTAACTCTGCTTGTTTCATTTGCTCATTCATTATTTGGTTTTCCAGCACACAGGGATTGTTTGAAATTTAAATTGGGTTGAAAAAAAATATGTGATGCAAAAACATAATCGGAGAAGTATGTCGAGCAATAGTTATTCAATTTTTAAAATAATATGTTCTCACCATCTATTTCTTCTGATGCTAAATAAGGCAAACCGTATATTATTATAAACCGTAATATTAAGTCCATCTCGAGCAAATGGAATTAACCGATTAATACATAGGTGTGGGTATAGTAATTTACTATGAAATTTATCAGATGGATTGAGCCATAACTATAGGACCGTTACAAAAGTAGTTATAATAATATGGTGTAAAGGTGTATTATACTGTGTTTTTAAACAAGAAAAATCCATCTTTTTCAATCGTATTATTTTTATTAATAACTAATAACGAATGATGGTTATACGCATATAAATAGGTAAATTTGTATAAACACTGCAGGCTCGGCTCTCTTTGGAAAGGCATTTTTTTGGACTACAGAGCGGCCAACTTTGAGAGACACCAATTCGGTGTTTATTTTATTATTAAAAATAAATCAATGAGCAGGGGCTGGGTAGAAGCAGTGCGAAATTAATCCTCACAAGATCTCACGATTGAAATAGAAGAAAAAAAAGGTACATAGTAATTACTATATGAAATTGATAAAATTTTATTAAAACATAAATAGAACCGTTATAATATAGTAGTTGTACCAATACGGTGTATCGGTATACACTGTATAGGTACAACAAGAAAAAGCCAGCTTTTTCAACCAAATTATTTTTTAATAACAACGAATGATTGTAAAACGCCTATACTCGTGCCTGAAGGTAACCTATAACTAATAAATAGGAACCTATAATTAATAAATAGGCACCTATAATTGGTAATAGTGATCATAGTTAATCAAAAATCGATATCATCATGTTTTTAGAATATAACAACTATATTAAAACAACTAGACCAGTAAAATATTATACTACTAGATACTATACCTATAGCATCTGGTAGGTACTTATACAACTATAGTATTTTGTATCCTAATCGTTAAAATACACTGATATAATATAAAGCTGTCAGCCGTTCTTGTAAGACTTGTCGGATACCGTATACAATAATAATATAATAAATAATAATATATTATTCGCACACCTACAATAACAATCGGCAGTAAAATTGAATAGGTATATTATTTTTTTCCTCGTGTGGAGAATTTAACGGTCGTAGAAAATAATTCCCACTTGCAACGCAATTGCGTTCGAATGAGCATCAGCGAGTGTCATAAAATATATAAGTCAATCGACGTGGCGCAAGTCGAGAGCGTCATGAACAATAAAGTCGTCTGCAATTGTCATTGTATCATAATATTGTGTGTACAAAACGGCTACGAAACAATGTAAACTATTGTATATTTAGGTATAGGTACTCGCACAATTTCACATCAATAACAATTAACAACACTAGACGTCAGGCACAGTCGCACTATGATTTGAGAAATGTTCAGCCTGGATAATATTATATATTTTTTAAAAAATGTAAACACCGAATGGATTCTAGTTATAATAACATAATAGTTATTCACATAATTTCGGTGACACAATAATTATCAGAAAAAATACAAAAAAACATTAAGTGGTAAAATTTCGGTAAGTGCTGTCAACCTACTGATGAGGTTGCATTGCTGTCTCGCTGTCATGCATCACTCTCGTAAAAGATGCATTTTTAAGAAATTTGGTTTGCCCAAGAAGTGAATAAAGAAGTCGTGTGACCTTGTTTTATTTGGTACCCGGATGCTGAGTCATATTCTAAAAGACGTGGGGTACCTATAACCAGGTCTTAAATCAAAAACAACGTTATATGGATATTAAACGTTATGGTCAAAAAACTGTTTAACGTTATAAAGAATTTAAACGTTATTCAATTTATGCGTTTAAACGTTATAAAAATTTAAACGTTATTCAACTTAAACGTTTTACAAATGTAAACGTTATGAAGCGTTTAGCGTAGTTATCTGATGGATATAGCTTGTTTCCTACACAAAACAGAATGATTGAACAATATCATATTATAAAAATAACCATAATACATATTTTACTGATAGTTTTAATTTTATAAATATTTTTTATTTTCAGGCAATTATACGTTTCAATTGTTTATGGTTTCTGTTTCGTTATCCGTTATCGATTTCAATCGTTTTTTGAATTGTTTAACGTTATAAAAACGTTTTGAAGCCCTGCCTATAACTTATAATGCTATTCTTAACAGTCAAAATATAAAGCAAAATCCGCAAATCTAACGTCTTTGCTTTAAATAATCGAGGCTAAGAACTTTCAGTATACCAGGTCTGCAATCATAAGGATGGTCAGTAGATATTTAGGATAGTTCCACAAAGCCGACGAATAATCTATTCTGAAGGACTGAATCAACGACTATATATTATATATACAATTTCAAATATATCAGTCACAGTGTATGGATACCAAAACATCGTCTCATATCCTGTTATATAATGAACAAACTCGTTAATAAAGTAAGGAACAGCAAGGACATTTTCCGCATAATAGTGATGTTTGTAATGCAAGTTAAATCGCAAAAAATTACGCAAACAGAAATAATAATAATAATAATAATAGCCAATAGGTATACTGTATACATATTGATATATGTTGTATAATCATTATAATACCTATCTTTGTGCGGTACGTTTGTTCCGACTGAACGCGTTTACGTTTTGCGTCCTATCATTATTTACACGTTTATATATAAGGTATACTGTCTTGATCGCGATCAAAAATTTTTAGTGTTTCCGATAGCACTTCCATGCACGTGGAGTACTGGAGTGGAGGAAAGTGGAATTTTTTCAAAAATATGTCACTCTTCATACGTCGTTCGTTATGTATAATGATAGAGACCTGGTGACTGAGACGCCATTTTAGTGGAGGGGGTGGAAGAGTGAGATGGTCGTGAATTCGTAAAAGCTCGTTTTAGGTTGACGAACTGATCCATATAACCATATTATATACGTACGACTTATCAGCGACTATCCTATAATATATTTCCTCGTTGTATGCTGTCGTCTGTACTCGTGTGTCGTGTATATTATATTAAAGTGGTATATTCAGAAAATAATTAGAGCTACACACGACGAATCTTAAATTTTCACGATTTTGAAAACAAGTTGGCGGTGGTGGACTTCGTTTACCTAATGTACACTTTACCTAGGCTACTTGAACCAAGATCTATGCTCATTTTCAATTTTTACTTAATAGTATATATAATACAGCGTGTTGTGTCTATTTTATTCATAGAACCGGCCTTGTGGGAATTAGGTAAGTACTGAGTTTTTAACTTTACAATTATTCCAAACGTATAATGTACCTATACCATCAACAGTATAGAACAAGTAGAATTTTAAATGCATTTACCTGTGTCCCGCGGTTATTGTATAATGTTATTAAACTTGTCCACAAGTGTACCAGCTATGATATAGCGATTATAATATTTGAAACGAAAACTACCGAAATGGTAAATAATACCATTACGTAATGTGACGATATAGATAGACAGATCGAGACTGGGTAACATAATTTTTATGGAATTCGCGAATATTTTGTTTTTATGCGCATATTTTTCCCTATTTCGAATTTATATGGTTGTAGATATAGCGTACCTGTTGATATCATTCTTGTTATTTAATCTGGTTACCTGTGCTAACCTAATTACTGGTTACCTACATACTTAGCAAAGTATAGATACCTAATTATATTGGTACTTAAAAAACCATTATAATAAAAAATCGTAAGTATACCACTTTTATGTATATATGAAGGTATGCATTATTTTGTATACCTACATAACATGATTTTTAATATTCCGAATTCTTCATTACTATTATTATTATGATTATCAAGGGTTATCTTGTGAGCACACAACAAGGTCATAATATGAATAGGACAAGCAATGAGAAGTGATCTCGAAAACACACTTCGCAATACAGCAGGAGCCTATCATAATAGTAATAACCTGCAATAAATCAGAATCAGCTGTCTTCGAAGAGAAAAAAATTATCGATTATGCATCTACATATAAACACTGTGCAGATGCGCTGATTGCAATCATGACTGTATCAGTACCTAATCTTTGCAATACCTACACATATAGTGTGCAAATTTAATTAAGTCTACAG